ACCAATAAGATATTAAGACATATTATTCAAGTTAATATAAGCATAATTTTCAATAAAAACAAATATACAGTCAAGGTTGTACTGAAGTTTATGGCTGTTAGAGATTTTTCGGTATTATCATTTTGTTATTACTTTAGTTCACATTCAGTCTATAGCTGTTTAAAGTGTTCTCTTCCTTGTGTATGAACTGACCTGGAGGTCAGGACTGTCTCTTCATCTTCATGTGAAACCGTTAACTCTGTTTCTCAGACCTTAAATTCTTATCAACCAGAATATCTCCTAACTGCCTGTGTGTAGTTGTATTTTGTCTTAACAGTTTGACCAAGATTTGAACCGGGCTCAGACCGTAGATCAGATATCACACATGGAATTGGGTTGCTAGCTGTTTGGGTTAGAAGTTTTACGACCTCTGTTGTTTTCTTGACTGCTCCTTGACTGTTTTCTTTGACAATAAAACGGGCTCACGCGGAAGGAGAGCAGAACGCTCTGTGAACAGATCGGAGGAGCTGTTGACGGAGTTTTTCTCCTTTTGCAAAAGCTTGGCCTTAAAATTCATATACGTTGTCTGTGTTTTTTTTATATAGGTTCGAGAAAAAGTACCTATCATTAAGAAAATGCATTTAAAATATGCTAGTTGTAAAAACTTAACCATATGTTCAATATTAGATAAAATTAATTGTAGGAGTCTTATGTACATTTTTTTGGAGCTTGATCCAGAATGTTTTCACTTTTGCTCGGTTGTTTGAAAGAGATGGGCATCTGTGGTTGTATTGAGCTTGTTGCGTGGTTCCTTTTGATTGGTTGTTTTTTGTCTAATTAGTTTATGAAAGATTAGAGCATGCTCACTATAGAAGAGGAACACAGTCTTTTGACCGTCATTTTCTATTTGTTCTTATTTTGAATCTGTTATTTTTACTTCCTTTTGGATTCAGTAAAAACTGGAGAATGACTATTGGATCCAAGACCTCTTTTTTCAAGAAGAAACGTGTCGTGTTGGAAAGAGCTTTAAGGGGCTAGACTAGTGAGAGCTTGCCGCACTTACATTAATAGTTTTAAATAAGAAAATTTGCTCCAAATTATATTCATGGTTCAATCAGCGTAATCTCTTATGTAGGATAGTTCTATTGAAACATTATACTCTAAGTTGAATTAAAATAACTTAGCTTGTAGTTCTCTATAATTTAAAACACAGCTAGTCTCTCTGTGGACTGACCAGACATTCACAGGGGGTCGTGGCTCTGTGTGACTTGAACCTTTTGACCACTTTGATAAGATTCAACAGCTGGTGTAAAACAATCTGGTCCTGTGAGCAGAGCAGAGTTTCATCTGGGCCATCAAACATCTGTCTCCATTCAGAAGAAAATAACACTTTGATCTTAAACAGGTTTTTACTGGAACATAAACTAGATTTAAATGAACTTGGCTAAGGACAGTCCCCTGATTAGAACAGAG